ACACAGTGATAGTTTTCTAGCGCGCTGTTAGTACGCTGCTCTGTTGTGCTTGTTAAAAGCTTTGTTGGAAGTCTGACACTGGGGCTGCACGTAACACCGTCTGCGGCATCCTTAAGTCATGAGGCTGTTTTATGCTGGGCCCCGTGGGTGAGGTGGGGATGACAGGACAGCAGTAAAGCACAAATGAAGAAGCGCGCACACCAACATACACATTGTCACCTTTAAAAGTGTATAAGCGCTCCCCGATGCCACCGCTGCCATAGCGCATGACTAATGCAGCCGGCAAGTCACTGTGCCTCCTCAGCCAGTCCCAAGAGCTCAATTAATTGGCTGTCATCATGCTAACCTCACTGTCTCACACACAATCATGGAATGATCAAGTTATAAATACACACTGTCAACGTGCTATCCCAGTGACAGGCTGCATGAATGGTGCCTTTACTGCGGTGTCACTTACTTTAAAAAGTCTCTGCTCTCTTAGAATGTGCCTTTTTGTATGAACTAGGGGTCTACCTAAATATTGATATTGCAATATTTTGTCTTGTGATCGATTATTAACATGCTAATTTCAATGGGGTGTTAATTAACCATGCCAGTTGGCACCCACTTAGCACCTGCGAAACTCACTAAAAACTCGCCGGTGGGTCCTATTAAAATGAACGTGGGTCAATGGGAGCATACTAAGTCTTGCAACTTAGTATGAGCTACCATGGCATGTTATACGTCATTTTAAAACATATTTTCTCGGGGAAACAACCACATAGTTTGTTTTACTGCAAAGAACCCAAAAGGTTATAATTAAATGTCAAAAGAAATCTGTAAATTGGACAACAATACACAGCCTTCTTCTCCAGTTCTTGTCATGATTGTCATTTTTAGTTTCTGTCTTAATTTGTATTATCTGTTCTCCTGTGTCTTTTTGAGTTTGACTTCCTGTTCTGTTCTGTTGATTGCCTACCACGCCCTAATGTGTTTCCAAATTAAATACCCTACTCCTTCTCCTCTTGTTGTCAGTCCATTGTGTATATCTTCGGCCTCTGCTGCTGTGGTTTGTATTCAGTTGAATTGTTAATATTTTTGCAGTATTGTACTTTGTATTAATTGTTGACAGTTCTGTTCCACTCTAAGTTAAAATAAATATTACTACAAAAGGATATCTAAACCCATGTCCGTTCAAAGTAATTGGTTTAAAAATGTGCTCAAGAAAATAAACAAAGCAATAAAACTTTGATCATAATATATTTTTGACAGTTTCTATGAGTAATATATTGAAATATAAATCCAGAGATTCCCAGCCCTTTTATAAACTGTTCGAAAAGATGGGTCACAAAATTCTAAGCGGTTAAAATCCTTCTGTAAGTCAGATTAGGAAAGAGATCAGTGTGTTAAGTGTGGAGGAGTCTGGGGGCGAAAAGCTGTTTTTAAATATCGGAGACAAAAGACTGCTTAGCCCTTCTAACTCATTTGCATACCTTAAAAAAAACAATACACTCATGCATATTTATTATTTTGTAGTACTTTACATGCTGAAGAAAATTAGAACGTTTATGTGATCTTTATTAATGGCTACTACCTTTCCACTTACTTTTTTCTGTTTTTTGAAACCTCATGATGTTTATATTACTGTTGAGGTGAAGTTAAAAATGAATGGGAGAGCTGTATGCAAGTTTGTATCTTTTTCATGGAATGCACTGGCAATTCACTAGACATAATTTTCTCTTCGACATGATTTAAAAGAATATTTGCTCGAGTATTTGAGCCTGTACTTTGACAGCGTGCGTCAACTAGTATTTGAGTTATTGTTATGTGAGATTTTGTTACTTCTGATTGGAAGGTAGTAGCGTATCGGGCTCTGATGAATATTTTGATAATCAAGTAATGGGCCAGTGAGTGATAATTGATTGTTGTTTGGATCTCAAAAGGCCTGAAAAAGTGTTTGTTTTTAATAGATACGTATTTGAATTGATACGACAATATTGATACAGGCAAGTTCTAAAATAATGTGTTTGTTTAATTCTTCTGCATTTTCATTTACGTAGCAGTAGTTACAGCTTTGTGTCATAAAAGTTTTTCACAGCGTGCATCTGTGTAGGAGCTTGAATACCTTTTTTGGCTTCATAAATTAATTAGTTTAGCATTAAAATCCAACAAGCGTGAGGCTTTGTGCGGGATATATTTTTCAAAATGTCTCTTATACACGCACCTGACGCCCACAGGTGTGCAGAGCTTCTCATCTTTTCATGAACAAAGACCACTTTTTATTCCTTTTATTAGAAAAAATATGTTGCCTTGTCCTGGGATTGGCTTAAAGTAGCAATATGTAAGATTTTCATGTCAAGTCATCATTAAATGACCCTAATATGTAAAAAGGCATTAAAAAACCACGCTCTTTTCGAATACTTCTTTCACTGATAACAGTAGTTCAGCCGAGATATTTGAATTTCAAAAGTAGTTTTACATCATCTAAATCTTTTCACTTTGATGTCCCGCCCTCCACCTTCCTCCTTCCTCCTTCGTCGTGCAAGGACGTGTCTTAGTCCGCTCCTGCTTCTGAACGGCTTGCTATCTCCTGTTTTTGTCTTTTTTTCCTGGAGTTTTGCCACAGACAACTTTAACAGAATGGAAATGATTAACTGGTCCCTCAACGCAATTGATTCTATCTTTTCAACACGTAAGCGCGGGTCTGGAGAGCCCGTGTGCCCGGACGGGACTTCACCAGCGGGGTATACGCTTGACAGCTGGAACAAGTTTCAGCCCCTCTGTCTGTCGACCCTGTCCATTGAAGATTCGGAAGACGTATATATCTTTGGCATTTTGGTGGTGGGGATCCTCCTGTTTGGGTTTGGAGCGGTTCTCTTCTACCACAAATTCGGAGGCATGGCAGTTCGCAAGATTCACGACCTGCTGGCCGAAAAAATTGATGGGATGTACAAGGAGCTTAACCGAGTCGTGGTTGAGAGCGCTGTGGCTGGACAACGAAGAGTGGTGTTAGTGGAACAGTTGATCAAAGATCTCGCAGCTCGTTCACTTGATGGTCATAAGACTCTGGAATTGAGATTGAATGACATTGTCTGCCAGGCTTGAACTCTCTGACCCGGCTTGGATTTGCCCCTGTGTACGGGGTCTGAGGGCGCTGTAATTTGGTCTAATTGGATTTAATAGAATATCTGCCTGTTTTTGACTGCTAAACTGCATACAATATTGTCCCTCGTTACAGGAGATGTGTTCTCTCCCTATTGTGTCTTCCCTCCTCTCTTATCTCACATTCCTCGGGCCAAGGCCATCATAATAAATCTGGTCTCTACAAAAATTTCACACTCTTTCAGTCTTCCAGTTTGGATCCCGCTCCCCCCGCCTCCCTCTGATCTCTCCCTCCCCTCCCCTCCTTACTGTGTTTCCGACTCACCCCCACCCTGACCCCGCCCCCCTCTGACAGCCACATTGGACCGGCAGGCCGGAGGTGCTCATCCCGTGAAAAAAAATCCGTGGTTTATACAAAGCACAATGTTTTCTATCCAACTGTCTGTTGTTACCTGAATGTTATTGCTCTCTGCTGTTTCTTGCTGCACACAGCGCCGCAAATGGCGAAGTGGCACGCTCTCTGCCAAGACAATTTCCAAGTGATAACTTTGTTACTCACGTGGCAATAAAAATGATTCTGATTCTGATTCTGATTCTGATTTACCAATCAGAAAGCCTGTGATCCGGGTTGCCAGAACTCCCCGCATCGAGCTAATCTTAGTGGGAGAGGTTGCAGTACCACTTTTGGCCAGATTTTTACATACTGCTCCTCTAAAGCTGCACTAACTGACTTTATTTTTGTATTCATTACGAAAATGCTATCCATGTCCATCCAGTGCATTGGGAAATACGTCCTTTTGAAGAAAAAGTAGCGCAGATTTGTGCTGGCGTGACATTATATTTTAGATCGAGTTCTGATGAAACAAGGAAGAGAATGTGTCTCTGGTCGCATATTGTGACCAATCACAGCGGACCACTGGCCCCCACTTTTGTGAGAAATCTACAGGTCCGTTAGCATAGACGGCTGAGTTAGCACAACAAGCAGCGGAGCTAACCTGAAGCTTCGTGTGTCTTCGTCACCAGTTACTGCTTACACAGCGAGACAACCATCCTAAAGAAAGTCCCGTTCCTCCGCGCTTCCCGGTTCTATCGCTCTATGGTCACGCCATCCACGTGCAAATCCATATCCATGTATTATCCATATTAAGAGACGCTAGCTCCGTCCCAACAGTGGGTGTGTGTGGGGGGCGATAGCTTCGTGGGTGCAGGGAGGGGAGCAGAAAGAGCGAGGCCAGCGAGTCCGCGGCTTCAAAATCCCTAAGTCAGTTAGTGCAGCTTTAATATGAGCTTTTTACTTCATCCAATTCCTTCTCAAAACAGTTTTGTGTGAAGGATTGTTTGTATACCTTGTGCATGTTTGAAATAGATAAGCGATGGATTGAAATATGTGATGTGGGAAAAAAATATATGCGACAACTACTTATAGAACCAAACAGTTTAGAGAGTTAGGAACTAGTAACATGGATTTTATTAGATAGTTATTATTTGTATGGTCTCAAAGGTACTGAAGCTTCGATCTATTAGTATAATTGGTTGGCAACTCTTACAATAATCGATCAGTTGTGATTTAATCTGTTAACTTGTTACAGCCTATAGTTTCTACACATACAGTACACTTGCTTCCTGGCCTGTTGTCTTATCCCCACTTTTTCCCCTTGAGTCACAACAACCTAATGAAAGAGAATCCGTTGAAAGCCGCCTTCATTGGTTTAATATGGTGGCCACGATTCTGACAGTGATATGAACGTGTTGTGACGCGTGGCTTGCTTCAGACAGCAAGGCCCTTTACCTTTTAATGACCCCGAGGCTGCTCTATGCTCTACACGTGCACGCTCACCTGCGCGTGCACGTGCGGTTGTGTGTGAACGTGCACATGAATCGCCTTGGTCCTCAGAGCTTTTCTTGGCTCGCGGCTCCAGATGTCGCCCCCTTTCTCATTTGGGACGTATGAGCAGTCAGGTGTGAGTGAGACCTCGGCGTTTGGGACGGGAGGAGACGGGGCTTTGGATGTGATGTGAGGCGCGTTCGGGGCTTCCCGTGTTTTCTCCAGCAGACGACAATTATCAGAACGATAGTGACAGGGCTTTGTTTCACCGTGTTGCTCTGCTGCCATTCTAATGCTTACAGGCTTAAAGGTTATATGTTTTGGGAAACATTCGATCAATTAGCCAAAATATATAGTTACATCAATATATCGTCAAATTATTGATTTGAATAAATTATGTAATCATGTGCTAATACTTTCTTAGGGTGTATTCAGACCTGCACATTTGCTCCACTTTAAACGGACCAGGATTCGTTTGGAACTCTGATCCGAATCTTTTATGCAGGTCTGAATACACACAAACGAATCCTGGTCCGGACCAAAGAACCGAACCGAGACTCACTTTTTGAGGTGGTCTCGGTCCGCTTCCAAACGAATTCTGGTCGAAGTCGAATCAGGTCTGAATACATCCGGTGTCGATCCGACACAACTCCAAGATACGTGCGCATTTTTTGGGCTTAACAAGCAGCAGACAGAAACTGAGGAATTAGCCACGCGTCTCAGCGGCTAACTATGCTGCTAACTATGCTGCTAACGCTACACAACAACAATGAGCCGTGTGCAGACTGGAGCAGTGAGGAGACGCTGTGCAACAGGCTTATGGAGTTAGAACTGTTCACAGTATACATTAATGTTAATGGCAGCATCTTCAAACCATTTGCATTATTAAAAGCCTGACACTGTTTGACTCGCGTCTCAAAGAGCAATATTCCGCATCATGTAGTGAATTGTGTTCTTTGCTTCCTACCTGATCGTCAGCGCCTGTTTGTCCCGTGGTTATTATAGATCCATGGTTTATCCACAATGCTGAACAGGGCCGTTATTTATCATAGATCCATGTGTGGGACAGGACACGGAGCGCACAGTCTCCTTCGGCTTTCTCCTCACGCATTCTCCGACGCTGTTCCAATATTTAAAACAACGTGTTTGGCCTGTGTCATATGAGCTGCTGTTGATGTTGAAGGTGGTTTTACTCTAAAAAGAGCAAATATAGGCAGAGCAGACATGCTGCACATACGAGCCCTCAATGTTTTCTGCCGGTTCCGCGTCTATCCTCCCTGAGCTCTCGCTGTCCAATAGGAGCGCCGATCGTCACACGTGTCAATATGTTTATATAAAAAAGTTCACTTGCAAAAAGGACAGTCTGAATACGAACCGGAGCAAAAGAAAAAAGTTTGGTCCGCTTTTGATTCGGATCAAGCAAGCGGAGCAAAGGACTTTTCAGGTCTGAATACACCCTTAGTAGTATGATAATACTAGTCTGGTCAAAAATTATCGCGTTAACGCACGTTAGTTACTTGTATTCCTTAATGTGTTTAAAAATGAAAAACGCATTGAGCATGTACCGGAATGACCCGCCCAATCATCCTAAAATAACACTTCAGAATGCTGCGGAACCACATGCCAGGCTTCTAATCTGTCGCCATCTACACATGTGTGTACACATGCGTGTGTAGTGGCGACAGAGCAGCTCTCTGGGGAATTCAAGTTTAAAAGAAAACAGTGCTTGACCTCCGCGCGGGCACTTGCTCGTTGTTTGCTGTATACTGAACGGGCAGTCTGCATCCTCCTGCAGGTTACTGACCCAGGGCCAGCGGTGGCCAACTGGGACAGGAGGTTCCAGCTCCAGCGCCTGTGAGCGCTAACAACAATACGGCGGAATGCAGCGTTAATGTCACGCGCACAGGACTATTCTCTGCTTGCTGTGTGCGCGTAACTGTGCATGCCTCTCTCGAAGCGCACTGCTAAATTAAAGCTGGGGTTACTAATGTATCCCCAGTTCATGTTGGTTGTGCCCAAAAAAAGTGAATTGTTGTAAGTAAGTAAGTAAGTAATCTTATTTATATACCGCCTTTCACAGACCAGAGTCACAAAGCGGTTTCAATTGTTTGATGTTTGTGGAGCAAATCACACAGATTTTATGACATTCTGGATTTCAGAATGTGTTTAAAATGTTCCATCATCTGTAACAAAACAATAGTTTAGGTCTGAGTCACTGCAGAAGACAGAATGTTAATGATGTTAATGACATTTTATTGTGGCTTTATTGTTATCATAAACAAATATGTGGTCATTTTCTTTCCTTTCAACACCACCATTTACAGAAAACATGGCATCAAAAGGCTTTTATTGAAAGAAATATATAAGCTGTAATTCACTCGATTAAAATTTTTAATTGTTGACAGCCCTATAAAATTACACATGTGGGCTTGGATATAGTTATAATATATAATCTGGTTCACACACACGGTAACTCAGTGTCCGTTTTCTTCGGTTACACACTTAAGCCCAACGCCACACCGAAACGCCTTGACGCTGCTGGCAAAAGAGCCGCCTCTTTAAAAATTTTCTATGAGAGAACGCACACCAAGGTTGCAGTACGCGCGGCGAACGCTGAGCCGGGCGCCACGATTCAGTTTTGTTGATCCAGACGCAGGCGCCGCGGCTGAAACTGTCCCTCCAAGCAACCGTAGTTTTTTTTTCTGCGTACTTATACGTAGCTGTGGAGCGCGGGTCTCAAATTTACACACTTGTCGGCGCTATTGCTCAAGTAAACCGGGGTCACAGAATGGACGAGGAAGGAAAGCTTGTACCCAAGTACAGCGTTACCCAGAGCTATTTACCCACAGAATCCTTTTTATAAGGTTTATCGTTGCGAAAGGAAATTGCTCTTGGAGAGCCATTTCACTTGAAAATGACTGTACAGTAAGCTAACAATGGGTAATTGGTAGCTATTTTAATTGGCATTAACATGTTTTGAAGGTGTGTCCATATATAACTTGGCACTTATTGATTTGTTATATGACAATTATACGAATCAGGTGATTAATTAAAATAATGTTATTTTATTCAAGCTATATGAATTATGATGTCAGTTACAGAGAAAATGTTCAAATATGTTTTCATTCTTAAAAATGTACAACAATCAGTGTTAATAAATTATCACAACATTTCATTCAAGAAATATACGGATAAATGTATAATAAACACATACAGAAATGCTAGAATTAAATTAATAGTTGAATTCTAAACCCATTTGGTTTTTTTGCCACGGTACGCTTCTTTGTGAGACACAAAGTAGCGACAAAAGTTGTCTCTATCTCTCTGCCACCTGGCCTCCTCTGCCTTTCCGCCCATCCTTTGGGACCAATCTCTCAAACGCCAACATCTGCTCCTCCAACCCATCCAAGGACTTCCCCAGGCCTGCAGAGGAAATTGTGGAGGGTGAATGCTGACAGGACAATAGCGGCCCACTTTCTTGGGATGTTAGATAGATGGTCGTAAAAAGGAAAGATCCTCCATCTGGCAGGCAAAGACAAGCAAAGGCATTCTCAACAACATTTCTGGCTCGAGACAAGCCTGTAGTTGACGATTGCGCTTCTCATAATCTCAGCTCACCTCGCCCAGAAAATGGCGCTCATCAAATATGTTTTAGAGGGAAAGCCGCATCTCCTACTATTACATATGGCATTCTCTATTTCGGCTCCCCAGGTTTAGTACCCGTCCGCTGGTGTACACAGATTGCCTAGCTTCAAGACCCGGCCCAGTGCTGGATGAAGGCAAAGACACCGCCATCAATTGATCTCCCGTAATATCCTGTTTGGACTACCCTAAACTGTAGTCAGCATCCACCACAGCATGAGAACGATGGAAAAGTGCTTTTTATAATAAACTTCAGGCTTCCGTGAGCGGGCGGGGAGCCTGTATGGAGATATGCTTTCCGTCAATGCACCGAGACAATGGGGGGGAAGTTCACTTTTGCCTGAACCTTTCAGCTATGCTCTCCAGTCCTCCTCTTCTTGGGGGCGCATATGGTTGGGCATCATGCGTGTGATGATGGCGGCGCAGGTGTCAGTTATAGATTGAGAAACTGTTGTTTCACCTAAGCGATAACTGAACGATAGGTCTTAGCATACTTTCTCCTGTAGCCATGTATCTGTAACGAGATATACATTGTAGTAATATACCTATTTTTTTTTCAGTGCAAGATTTGTTGTAAACTTAAATGGAAGTCACTTCGGGACGATTAGTGAAGCAGAAGAGGAGACAGAATCAGCAAAGTGGATCTGGGGCAAGTGCTCAACGGGAGTGGAGTTTGTGCCCCTGATGCATTTTCACGTGGCCACTTCATCCCAAATAGAGGTTAGCTATATTGATATAATCCCATGGATAAGTCTGGTGTTTTTTCTGTTTTAAAATTCTTAAATATGCATATGCTATAATGGCAAATATGATCATTTCCGTGACTCCTTAAAAAAAAAATTACAATCTGAACTACAGATTGCACGAGTTTTGTTGCTACATGTATCGTTTGACCTAAACTTTTTTTTTTTAATCTACTATATCTGGTTTACTTTGTATTATCCATGGTTATTTAAGATTATAGATTGTTTCATGTTGGACCATTGCACCCAATGAAAGTCCTTGTTTAGTACCGGCCTATTCATATAAAAGATTGCATGTTTCTCCCCACATTTTTCGACAGAGCCTTATGTGGAAAGTTTTGTTTATTTCATGAAATATAAGTGATCTGCTTACAGATACATTGGTCATTTTGTAAGTTTGTGTTGCATCAGCTACAGCCCTTCGTACATCTTGTTTTAGCTCTGTTGGAAATTTTAGAGCGGGACCCAGAGGGTGACCTCACTGAGGGCACTCAGGATGAGCGCAGGACACAGCTGCTCGAGCGGCTGCCTCGTGGAGAGGTCAGCAAGGCCCCAGAGTGCGACATGAAGCAGGCAGAGAAGAAGGAAGCAGAGCCACAATACAAGTTGAGTCTTCTGACTTAATTAATGGAATAGCGTCACTGCTAGAGCCTCAATCTAAAGTCGTATTATGCGGAGAGGGGTAGTTATGAGCTGTGTGCAGCAAAGGGAATGACGCTAGTTTCGTTACTGTTGGTATTTGCTAAGAGGAGAGGGGGGGCTGGTGCTGGTGGTCGGGAACCGCGGAGCGCAAGACGCGTGTAAATGGGCTGGGCTGGTGACTGCCTTCTGCGTGCCCATTGGGTGGCGGGGTGGGCGTGGGGGGTGGGGGGGATGGCGGGGGGGGGGGTGGGTGGGGGGTGGGGGGCTGGGGGTGGGGGGGGGGTGGTGTGGGTTTTGGGGTGGGGTGGGGGGGAAGGTGGGTGTGGGGGTGGGGTGGGGCGGGGAGGGGTGGTCGGGAGGGTTGGGGGAGTAGGTGGGGGGGTGGGTATGGTGGTGAGTTGGGGAGGTGAGGAGGAGGAGGGTGGTTGGGGAGGTGGGAGCAGGGGGGCGTTGGGGTGGGGGGGATGTGGGGTCGCGGTGATCGGCGTGTGGGGATGGGTTGGTTGATGGTGTGGGTTGGGGGGGAGGCGGGGGTGGCTTGGGTGGTGGGGAGTGGGTCGGGTGGGGGGGTTAGTGGATGGGGTGTGGGCGTGGTGTGTGGGGGGGGTCGGAGGGAGGGGGAGGGGTGTGAGGGGGGGGGTGGGGGTTATGGGGGGAGGGGGGGGGGGGGGGTGGGGTTGGGGGGGGGGAGAGAGGCTGGGGGGTGGGGTGGTGGTGTTGGCGGGTGTGGGGGTGCGGGGCGGGGGGGCGGGAGTGGGGGTGGGAGGTGTGTGGTGGTGGGTCGGGGGTGTGCCGGGGGGGGGTCGCGGGGGCTGGGTGGTGGGGGGGGGGGGGGTTGTTGGGGTGTCGGTGGTGTGGGGGGTGGTGGGTGGGTACGAGGGGGTGGGGGGGGGGTGCTCGGGCGGGGTGTGGGGGGTGTGTGGGGCGGGGGTGGGTGGGTTGGTGAGGGGGGTGTGGGGGGCATGGGGGGGGGCGGGGTGGGGTGGGGGGGCTCGGGTGGTGGGGTGAGGGGATGGGGGGGTGTGTGGGGGGGGGGGGGGGGGGGGGGGGTGGGGTTGGGGGGGGTTGGTTGGTTTGGTTGTAGCGTGGAGGGGGGAGTTGGTGTTGTGGGGCTGGGGGAGGGGAGGGCGGGGCGGGGAGGTGTGTTAGGGTGAGTGGTTGGGGGTTAGTGCTGGCGGCGGTGGGGGGAGCTGGTTGGGGTGGGGTGGGTTGAGGGTGTGGGGGGGGTTGGTGGTATGGGGGGGGGGTGGGGGGGGGTGGGGGGTGGCTGTTGGGTTGTGGGGAGTGGGTGGTTTTGGGGGGGGTGGGCGGAGGGTGGGTCGTGTGGGGGGGGTGTGGGGTGGGTGTGGAGTGGGGGTGGTGGGGGGGTGGGTGGGAGGGTGGGGCGGGGTTGGGTTGTGTGGGGGGGAGTGGTGGTGTGGTGGGGTGTGGGAGGTGGCGGAGGTAGGGGGATGGGGGGGTGAGGGGGTGGGGTGTTCGTGGGGGGGGGGCTGTTGGGTGGGGGGCGGAGGGGTGTTGCTGGGATTGAGGTGGATGGGGGTGGGTGGGGGGTGTTAGGGGGGGTGGGTGGGTTGGGGGTTGGGTGGGCTGGGGGGGTGTGATGGTGGAGGGGTAGGGGGTGTTGTGGGGTGGTGGGGAAGCGAGGGTTGGGGGATGGGTGAGTGGGGTTAGGGGGGTGGGGGGGGGGGGGTAGCGGGGAGGGGGCTTTGGAGCGGCGCGTAGCGGGGGGGGGTGTGGGGGTTGGGGGGGGGGGGGTGGGGGGATGTCGGGGGGGGGTATGGTTGTGGTTGGGGGAGGGTGGGGTGGGCGGGGGGGGGGGTGGGTGGGGGGGGGGTGGGGGTGGGGGTGTTTGGGGGGGGGGGGGAGGGGGGGGTGTGGGGGGGTGGGGAGGGGGGGGGGATGGGAGGGGGGTGGGGGCGTTGTGGGGGGGGGAAGTTGGGTGGGGGGGGGGCGTGGGTGGGGGGCCGGGTGTGGTTGGGGGGGGGGGGGGGGGTGGGGATGGGGGGGGGGGCGGGGGGTGAGGGGGTGGGGTGGGTGGTCGTGGGGGGGTGATAGTGTGGGTGTGGGGGGGGGGTGGATGGTTGGTTGAGGGTGGGTTTGGATGGGTGTGTGGGATGGGTTGGGGGGTAGGGGGTGGGGGGTTGGGGGGGGGGAGGCTGTGGGGGCTGTGTGTGGATGGGGGGGGGGGTGTGTTGAGGGGGGTATGGGGGGGATGGAGGGGTGGGGGGTGTGGGGGTGCTGGGGGGGGGGGGCGTGGGGTGGGGGGTGGGCGGGGTGGGGGTGGTGGTGCGAGGGGGTGGGTGGGTGGTGAGGGGGTGAGGGGGGGGGGGGGGGTTGGGGGGGTGTGTGGGGGGTGGGGGGGGGCTGGGGGCGGGGGTGTGATAAGGGGGTGGGGGGGTTAGGGGTGGGGGGGGGGGGGGGTGGGTGGGGCTGGGGGGGGGTTGTGGGATTGTGTGGGGGTGTGGGGGGGTTGTTGGGGGCGGGTGGGTGGTGGGGAGGGGGTGGGGGAGGGTGTGGGGGGGGGTGGGTGGGGTGGGGTGAGGGGGGAGGGGCGGTAGGGTGGTGCTGGGGGGGGGGGGAGATGGGGTGGGGCGGGGGGGGGGGGGTGGGGCAGGTAGTAGGTGGGTGGGGCGGTGTGGGCGTGGGTGGGTGGTGGTTGGGGGGGGGGGAGTTAGGGGGGGTGGTGATTGGGGGAATGTGCTGGGGGGGGTGGTGTGGGGGTGGGGGGGGGGGGCGGGGGGGGGAGGTGGGGGGGTGGGGGGGTGTGGGTGGGTGGGGGTGGGGTGATGGATACGTGCGGGTGGTGGGTGGGGGGGTGATGGGGGGGGGGGGTGTGTGGTGGGGGGGGGGGTGATGTGGGTGGGGGGGGTGGGGGGGTAGGTGTGGGAGTCCGGTGTGGGGTGTGGAGGGGGGGTGGGGGGGTGGTGGGTGGGGGGGGGGGGGGGGCGGGGGGGGGATGTGGGTAGTCGTAGGGGGGGGGTCAATCCAACCTGTGGGAGGGGGTGGAGGGGGTGGGGGGTGGTAGTTGGGGGGGTGGGGTCGTGGGGGTGTGGGGGGTGGCGTGGGGAGGTGCTGGGGGGTGGGTGGGGGGGTGGGGTGAGGTTGGATGGAGTTGGGGGGAGGTGGGGTGAGGAGGGTGGAGGTGAGTTGTTGGGGGAGTGGGTTCGCGAGTGTGGTGTGTGTTGGGGATGGGTGGGTTGGGTGTGGTTGGGCCTGTGGAGGGGGTGGGTTGGGTGGGATGTGGGGAGGAGGCCCGCGAGGGGGGGGGTGGGTGGGTTGAGGTTGGGGGCTGGGGGGTGGGTTGTGCGGGTAGAGATGTGGGGTAGGGCGGGGGTATGGGTGGGGGTATGGGAGGGGTGTGGGGTGGTGGGGTGATGGTTGGTGGGGGGGCGGGGGGTGGGTGTGGGGGGGGGGTGGGGGTTGGGGTTGTGGGGTGGTTGGGGGTGGGGGGGGTGGTGGGGGGGGGTGGGTGGTTTGGGTGGTGGGGGGGGGGGTGGGGGGGTTGGTGGGGGGGCGGGACGGCGGGGTCGGGTGGGTTGGGGGGGTTGGAGGGTGGGTGCGGGGGTGCCGGGCCCGTTGGGGTGGAGGGTGGGGTTGGGGTGCGGGGGGGTGGGTTGCAGGGGGGTGGTGGGGGGTGGGGGGGGGAGGAGTTTGGGGGTGTTGGGGGGTGTGGGGGTGGGGGGGGGGGTAGGGTGGGGGCCGTCGAGGTTGTGTGGGTGGGGTATGGGTTGGTGTGGTGGGGGGGTGTTGGGGGGCGGGGGCGGGGGGTGGGGGGGGAGGGGGGGGGGGTGGTGGGTGGGTGTGGGGGTGAGGTGGGGGGGGGGGGCGTGAGGTGGGGGGGTGGGGGGTGTTGGGCGGTCGGTGGGGGGGGGGGGGGGTGGGGGGGCGGGTGGGGTGGGGGGGGGGGGGGTGGGGTGTGGGGGGTGGTGAGGGGGGGGGGGTGGGGGGGGGGGGGGGAGCCGGTGGGGTGTCGGGTGTGCGTGGATGGTGGTTGGGGGGTGGCCGCTGGCGATGGGGCGAGGGGAGGGTGGTTTGTGGGGGGGGGGGGGGGTGAGGTGGGGGGGGGGTGGGGGGGGGTGGGGGGAGCAGAGCCGGGTGCAGGGGGGGCTCGTGGGTAGGTGTGGGGGGATGGGGGGTGGTGGGACCGTGGTGGTGGTGGGGTGGGGGGGGGGGGTGGGGGGGAGCGGTGGGTGGGGGTGGGGGCGGGTGGGGGGGGGGTGTGAGTGGGGGGTGGCGTGGGTGGGGCTGCTGGTGGGGGGGGTGGGGGGGTAGGTGCGGGGGAGTGGCGGTGGCGTGGCGGGGTGCGGGGGTGGGGTGGGGGTATCGGCGCAGGCGTGGCGGGGGGTGGGGTGGGGTGGGGGCGCATGGGTGGGTGGGAGTGGGGGGGGAGGTGGGTGGGTGGTAGGGCATGGGGTGGGGGGTGTGGGTGGGTGGGGGAGGGGTGCGGGCGGGTGGGTGGGGGGGGAGGTTGGTGTGGGTGATGGAGGGGGGGGTGTGTGGTCGAGGGCGGATGGTCATGGGGGCGGGGTGGTGGGTTGCTTGGGGGTGTTGGGGGGGTGGGGTTGTAGGGGGGGTGGGGGGGTGTTGGTGTGGGAGGATGGGGTGGGGGGGGGGGGGGGGGGAGTGTGGGGGGGTGGGGTGTGGTGGGGGGGTGTGGTCCGCGGCGTGGGGGTATGGTGGTGGGGTGGGGGGGGGGGTGGGGGGGTGGGGTGGGGTGGTGTGTGGGCACTGGGTTTGTGGGGTGGGGGGGGGGTGGTGGGAGCTGGGGTGGGGGCTGTGGGAGGTGGGGTGGGTGTGGGGGGGGTGGGGGGGGGAGGAGGCGGGGGGTGGGTGGGGGGGGTGGGTGTGGTGGGGTTGGGTTCGGGGCGTGGTCGATGTGGTGGGCTGGTGGGTGGGTGGGAGCGCGGGGGGTTGGGGGGGGGGCGTGGTGGGGTGTGAGAGATGGTCGTGGGGTTTGGAGTCGGCTGGGGGTGGGGTGATGGTGGGGGTGGGCGGTGGGGGGGTGGGGTGGGGGTGGGGGAAGGTGGGGGGGGGGCTGGGGGTGTTGTGTGGGGGTGGGGGGGGGGGGTGGGGTGGGGGTAGGGGGTGGGCTGGGCGGTGAGTGGTTGGGGGAGGGGGTGGGGGGTGGGTGGGGGTGTGGCGGGTTGGTGTGCGGGCGGGGGGGGGAGGGGGTGGTTGTTGGGGCGCGTGTGGGGGTGGTGGGTGGGATGTACGGGGGTGGGGGGGGGGGGTGGGTGTGGGGGTGGGGGGTGGTCGGTGTGGGGCGGAGCGGGGGGAGGGGGGGGGGCGGCGGGGGGGGTCGGGGGGTGTGGGGATGGGGGGGGGGAGGGGTGGTAGGGGGGGGGTGGGGGGGGTGGGTTGTAGGGGGTGTTGAGGGGGTGTGGGTTGCGTGGAGTGGTGGGGTGGGTGTGGCGGGGGTGGCTGGGGGGCGGATGGGTGGCGTAACGATCGGGGTGACAGGGGATGGGGGGTTGGTATGGGGGTTGGGGGGGGTTTGTGATGGGTGGTGGTGGTGTGTGTGGGGCGGTGGCGGGGTGGGTTGCCGCGTGGGGGGTGGTGGGTTGGGGATAGGGGGGTGGCGGGGGGGGGGGGCGGGGTGGGGGTTGGGGGTGCATAGCGGGTGAGGTGGTGGGGGGGGAGTGGGGGGGTGGGTTAGGGGAGTTGGTTGTGTGGGTGGGGGGTTGTGGTAGTCGGGTGGATGTGATGCGTGGGAGGTGGTGGGGGTGGATGGGGGGGGGGGGGGCCAGGCGTCGCGTTTGGGTTGCTTGGGGTGGTTGTGGTTGGGGGTGGTGGGGTGGGGGGGGGTTGGGGTGGGGAGGGTGTGATGAGGTGGTTTGGGGGGGGGGTGGTGGGTGGGGGGGGGGGGTGGGGGGTGTCGTTTGTGGGGTGGTTTGTGTGGTGTGGGGGGGGGGGGGGGGGTTAATGTGGGGAGCGTGTTGGGGTGAATGAATGGGGGGGGGTGTGTTGAGTGGTGGGGGGTGTTGGAGGGTGGGTAGGTGGGGTGTGGAGGGGGGGGGGGGTTGTGGGGGTGTGGTTGTCTGGGATGGGTGTGGGTGGGGGGGGAGTGGGGGTGGGGGGGGCGCTGGGGGTGGGGGTGGGTGGGTGTGGAGAGTGGTGGTGAAGGGGGTGGGGGTTGGGGGGGGTGGGGGGGGGTGTTGGGAGGGGTGGTGGGGGGGTGGTGGGTGGGCGTGGGGTGGTGTTGTGGGGGGGGGTGAGTGCGGGAGGGTGGGGTGGGGGTGTCTTGGGGTGGGGGGGTGGAAGGGTGGAGGGGGGCGGGGGGGGGGGGGGGGTGGAGCGTGGGGTGGAGGGCTTGGTGTTGGGGGGGGGTGGGGGTGGGGGCGGTGCTCGCCAGTGGGCGGTTTGGGGAGTGGGTGTGGGGGGGGTGGTTGGGTGTGCATGGTGGTGGGGAGGGCGGGGTGTGTTCGGTGGGTGGTGCGTGGGGGGGGGGCGGGGGGGGGTGTGGGGGTGGGGGGGGTGTGGGGGGGGTGGGGGGGTGGGGGTGGGGGGTATGGATTGGGATGGGGAGGGTTCGGGGGATGGTGTTGTGGAGCGATGTGGGGGAGGGATTGGGGGGGTTGGGTGAGTGGAGGGGGGTCGGGGGCGTGGGGGGTGGGGGGGGTGGGGGGGTTGGGATGGGGGGGAGGTAGTGGTGGGTGGTGTTGGGTGGAGGGGGGGTGAGGGGGGTGTTGGGTTGGGGGGGGGAGGTTCGGGGCGGGGGGTGGCGCGGGGGGTGGCGGGGTGGGTGGGGGGGTGGTTGCGGGGAAGGTGAGTGTGGGTGCGGGTGTGTGTGGGGGGGTGCTGGGAGGGGATGGGCTGGGGGTGGTGTGGGGTTGAGTGGTGGGGTGGGGGGAGGGGGGGGCTGAGGGGGGGTGGTGTGGGGGGGGGCGTGGAGTGGGGGGGCGGTTGGAGTGCGTTGGGGGGGGTGTGGAGTTGTGTGAGGGGGGTGTGAGATGCGTGGGGCGGGTGGTGGACGGTGGGGGGTGGCGATGGGGGGACGCGGGGGAGGGGGGTAGTTGTTGTGGGTGGGGTGGTGGTGGTGGTGGGTTGAGGGGGGGGGTTGGTTGGGGTGCGGGTGTGGGGTGGTGGCGGGTGTTGTGTGGGGGTGGGTGGTAGGGGGGGTTGTGGGGGTTGCGGCAGGGGGGGGGGGGGGGCGTGTGGGGTGGGGGGGGGTTGGGGGTGGGGTGGGTGTTTGGGGGTGTGTGGGTGTGATGGTCGGTGGGGGTGGGGGTGGGGGGGGAGGTGTGGCATGTGGGTGGGGGGGGGGGGGGGTGGGTCGTGGGCTGGGGTGGTCGGGGTGGTTGTGGGGGGGGTGTGGGGGTGGGGGGGGAGGGCGGGGGTGGGGGGAGGGGGGGGGGGCCGGGTGGGAGGGGGGGGGGTGGTTGGGGGGGGGGGGGGGGTGGTGGATTGGTGGGGGGTGGGGGGGCGGGGGGGTGGGGTCGGGTGCGGGGCTGGACGGGGGGGTGGAGTGGGGTGGGGGGGGTGTACCGGTGGGGGGGGGGTGGGTGGTTGGTGGGGGGGTGGTGTTGTGGGTGTAGGGTGGTGGTGGTTGTGTGGCGTTGCGCGGGGGGTGGGGGCTATTGGAGTGGGGTGGTTGATGGGGGGAGTGGGGGGAGGGGGTGGGGTGGCCGGTGTGGGGGGGGGAAGGGGGTGGCGGGTAGGGGGGTGGGTGTGGGGCGCTTGTGGGTTGGGTGGTTGGTGTCGGGGTGTGCGTGTGGGGAGTGGGTGTGGGGGGTGGGGCGGGGGGAGAGTTGGGGTGTGATGGGGGGTGGGGAGGTGGGGGGGGGAGGGGGTCAGTGGGGGGGTGGGGGTGGGTGTGGGAGTGGGGGGGGATGCTGGGCGGTCGCGTGTGTGTGGGGGAGGTGGCGTGGGGGGTTGTGGGTTGGGTAGGGTATAGGGGCTGGGTGGATCGTGGGGGTGGGGGGGGCGCAATGTGGGGGTGTGGGGGGGGGTTGGGGGGTGGGATGGGTGGAGGGCGATGGGTGGGTGGTTAGGTGGTGGGGGGGGGCGGGGGCGGGTGGTGTGGGGCGGTGGCGTGGGGGTGTAGGGGGGGGGGGGGGGTGGTGGGTTGCGTGTGGTGGTACGACGTGGTTCGGTGGTGGGTGGTGCGGGGGGGGGGATGCCTTAGGGGGGGAGGGGGGGATGGGGGGAGTGGGGAGGGGGGGGTGACTTGGGGGGGGGGGATGGTTTGGGGTGGGGTCGGGGGGGGGGGTGGTGGTGGGGTGGGTGGGAGGGTGTTGTTGGTGTGGGGGCGGGGGGGGGTTGGCGGTGGGGGCGGCATGGAGGTGGGGGTGGGTGTTGGTGGGTATGGGTTGGGGGGATGTGGGGTGGGGGGGGGGGGGGTTGTGGGGGGTGGGGGTGGATGCGGTGGGTGTGGGGGTGGGATTGGGTGGTGGGTGGGGGGTTGGGGTTGGTGGGGGAGGGTTGGGGTGGAGGATGGGGGGGGTGGGTGGGGCGGGTTGGGGGTTGTGGCGGTGGGTTGGGGTGGGGGGGGGGGTGGTGGGTGGATGTTGAGTGGGCAATGGGTGGGGGGTGGTCGTGGTGGGGGGGGTGGGGGGGGGGGGGGAGGTGGGGATGGCGGAGGTGGGGGTGGGGGGGTGGGGTGTGGGTGGGGGGGGGCGGGGGGGGGTGGCGGGGGGGGTGTGTATGTTGTGGTCTCTCGAGGTGTTGGGCGGGTGGGTGGGGGGTGGTGGTGGTTGCGGGGTGAAGGGGGGGCGTGGAGTGGGGGCGTGTGGGGGGGGGTGGGGAGGGGGGTCCGGGTTGGGGGGTGTGGGGGGGGTGGCGTGGGGGGGGGGGGGCGGAGGTGCGGTGGGATGGTGTGGGGGTGGGGGGGTGGCTGGGACTGGTCGGTGGGTGGGGTGTGGGGGATGGGGTTGGAGTATGGTGGTGGGGTGGTGGGGGAGGTTGGGGTGGTGGGGTGTTGTGGTGGGTGGGTGGGTGTTGGGGGAGCTTGTGGGGGGGGGGGGCGTGGGGAGGGTGGGGGGGGGTAGGGGCTCGGCTGGGGATGGGGGTTGTCTTTCGAGGGTGGGAGGTGGGGGATGGGGGGGTGTGGTGTCGGGTGGTGGGGGGGCGGGGGGGCTGGGGGGTCGCGGGGGGGGGGGGGGGGTTGTGGGGTGGGGGGGTGGGGGTGGGTGTGGGTGGGGGGCGGGTGGGGGGGTTGGGGGGTGGGGGGGGTGCGCGTGGGGGTGAGGTGGGTGGGGTGGTGTGGGGGGGTAGGGGGGGGGGCGGGGGTGGGTGGGGGGTGTGTGAAAGGGTTGGGGAGCCGGGGAGGGGGGGTGGGGGATGGGGGGGGTGGGTGGGGTTGGGGTGGGTGTGGGTGGGGGGGGAGGTAGGGGTGGGGGTGTGGCGGCGGCCGATGGAGTGGTGAGGGTGGGTTATGGGCGGGGGGGGTGGGGGTAGGTGTGAGGGGTTGGTGGGCGGGGGGTCGTGGTGGGGGTGTCGATGTGGGAGGATGTGGGTGCGATGTGGGGTGGCGGGGTAGGGGTGGGGGGGGTGGGGTGGTGGTGTGTGGAGGGTGGGCTGGGGTGGTTGGGGTGTGGGGGTGGGTGTTGGGGGGTCGGGGAGGTGGGTGGGGGCCGGGTGTCGTGTGCTGTGTGTGGGGGTGTGTGATGGGGCGGGTCTTGTGCAGGGGGGTGGGGGGGGGGGGGGGAGGGGAGAGTGGGGGGGGCGGGTGTGGGGGGGTCTGTGTGGTGTGGGCGTGGGGGGGGGGGGGGTGGTGGTGGTGGTGGGGTGGCGGGTGGTGTGTGGGGGTGTGTGGGGGTGTGTGGTGGTGGGGGGTGGGGGTGGGGGGGATTGTGGTGGGGGAGGGGGGGTGGGGGGGGGTGGGGGTGATGGGGATGTGGTGGGTGGGGGGGGTGGGGGGGGGGTGGTGGTGGGTGTGGTGGGGGGGTGGGGGGGGTGAGTCCGGGGGGGGGAGGGGGTGGGAGTGGGGTGGTGTCGTGGGATGGAGTGGGATGGGGTGGGGGCGGGGGGGGTTGTAGGGGGTGGGGGGGGGGTGGGAGTGGGGTGGGTGGGTTGTGGCGGGGGGGGGGTGGGGGGTTGTGTGGTTGGGGGGTGGGGGGGAGGGGGGGGTGGTGGGGTGGGGGGGTGGTCGTGTGGGTGGTTGGTGGGGGGGGGGGCTTGTGGGCGTGTGGATAGGGGTGGGGGGGGGTGTGGTGGGGGGAGGGGGGTGGGGGGGTGGGTGGAATGGGGGGGTGGGGACAGGGGGGTGGGGGTGGGGGGGGGGGGTGGTGGGTGAGTGTGGGGGTGGGGTGGGAGGTTGGGGTGTGGGGGGATGGATTGGGGTGGGAGGGGTGGGAGGGTTGGGGTTGTAGGGGGGGGGGGGGTGGTGGGGGGGGTGCGCGGGATGGGTTTGGGTGGTGGGGTGCTTGGGTGGATTTGGGGTGGGGGGAGGGTTTGTGGCGGGGTGTTGGGAGGGTGGGGGTGGGGGTGCGGAGTGGGGGGGGGTCGGGGTGGTGCTTGTGTGTGGGGGTGGGGGGTGTTGTGTGGATAGGGAGTGGGGGAAGGGATGGGGAGGTGGCGCGCGTTGGGGGGGGGGGGGGTGAGAGGGGGGGGTGGGTGGGGGGGAGGGGGGGGGGGTGGGGGTTGGGGGGGGCGGGGGGTGTGGTGGGGGGGGTGGGGGTGGGGGTCGGGGGGGGGGGCGGGTCTGTGTGGGCGGGTGGGTGGGTGCGGTGCGGCGGGGGGAGGTGTGGTGGTTTGCTGTGGGGGGGTGTTGGGTGGGGGTGGTGGATGGGGGTGTGTGTGAGGGTTGATGGAGGTGTGGTGGATGGAGGTGGGGGCTCGTCGGGGGGAGGGGGGGGTGGGGAGGCGGTGGGGGGTGTGGGGGATTGGGGGTGGAGGTGCATGAGGGTGGGGGGTTGGGTGGCGTGGTTCTTGGGTGGGGGGGGGGGGGTGGTGGCGGGGGGGGGGGGGGTGGGGTGGGGGGTTTTTTGGTGGGAGGGGGGGGGTTCTATGGGGGTGGGGCGGCGGGGCGGGAGGGGTTTTGAGAGGGGGTTTGTGGGGGGCGGGTTGGGGGGGTAGCGTGGAAGGGGCGGGTGTGGGGGGGGTGTTGGTGGGAGTGTTGCTGGGGGGGGGAGTGGCTTGGGTGGTGCCCGTCTGGGGGGTGGGGGGTGTGTGGGTTGGGGTGGGGGGGAGGGAGAGGGTGGTGGGGTTAGGTGGGGGGGGGGTTGGGGGTTGGGTGAGGGGGGGTGGGGTGGTGGGTGGGGTTGGGAGGTGGTGGGGGGGGTGGGGACATCGGTGGTTGGATGGGAGGCGGGGGGCGGGCGGGTGGGCGGCGGGGGGGGGGTGGGGATGGGGCGGGGGGGGGGGGGGGGAAGTGGGGGGGGTGGTTGGGGTGGGGGTGGGGGGAGGGGATGGGGTGCGGGTGTGTCGGTTGAAGGTGTGGTGGGTTGGTGGGAGGTGGGTGGGGTGGGTGGCATGGCGGTGTGGGGGCTGGGGGGTGGGTGTGGGGGGTGTGTGGGGTTTGTGGGGTGGGGGAGGGGGGGGTGGGGAGGGTGGGTGGTGGGGGCGGAGGTGGTGGGGCGGGGGGGGGGGAATGGTGTGGGGGGGGTGGGAGGGTGGGATGGGGGGGAGGGGGTTGGGTGGGGGGGTGGTGGTGGTGTGGGGGTGAGGGTTGGGAGGGGGAGGGAGGGGTGGGGGGGGGGGCTGGTGGGGGGTGGGGGGGAGGGGGGTGTGGTGGGATGGGATGGGAGGAGGACGGGGCGGGAGGGTTGGTTGGGGTGGGGTGGGGTGAGGGGGGTGCGCTAAAAATGTTCGTAAATATCCTTAAAGCCCACATTTAGAGGGGGATCCTCTCCCACAGACAAACAGACTGTGTAGATCCAGGACTCAGGCTGCAATACACCGATCACATCACTCATCAAGTACAGGTTAGAACACGATGACTACACAATTAACTTACAGTACATAGAACTTTACCCACTCAGATGCTTCAGGTCAAGAGCCATTGAAAAACCCATTGAACTTTTGTTTTAAAATCCTTTCTTTTAGATGTTGGAGCATGTAAATGTTGTATGTTTTTAGACATAACAGTGGAAAATATCAGCTCGATGTCACATTGAAAGAGTATTCCCAACTAATCTAATGTGCCGTTAAACAAAGGCACGACAAAGGTGTATAGAGGATAACAATGCTTTTTTAAACTGTAATGGGTACATGAAACTTGAGAGCAGTAACCATCATAATGTACTATTAATAAGGCAGACAGTTTTACAATATATGAAACCGGAGTAACATCAATCACAAGCATAATAGCTTTAGAAAAGTCTATTCAGGTTTTGGTTCCAGCCTTTTCAAATAGAGAGTTTGCTAAACCTTCTATACTGGTCAACTATATTTTAATTCAGTAGAAAAACAATCCAGAAAGTGCACTGAATGAGATAATCATACATTGCGAAATGCATTTTTGTAATAAATAGCAATGATTTGGTTTTGTGAATTCATTAAATTTGATTATGGCTTAGCATTGTTCCACTCAATGAAATTAATTGAATTTCTCATGCATTGGAGAAAGCAGGCAAACAAATTAATCATAAACTGGCAAATGTGTTTCCACTGGGTTGTGCAGGAGCAGTGCCATTATGTACTCTGTGTATGTGTTGTCATGGCGTTCGCATGGGAGGAGAGAGAACTGTAGCCTGGTCCAGTATAAATGGGCCGAGCCTCAACCTTCAAGCAACGTGCCCATGTTAACGGCTGTTAACATGAGCTTAGTTGCTAGATGTGTTGTCATAAAGTAAAAAGAAAAAAAAAAACCTCTACCAACATTGATGTCACATCACTTCCGGTGTGCATGGGAAACAACCACACTAAGTGTTTTCACTTACAGACTGATTACTGATTTTGATCATGCGTTTCATTGTAGCCAGACTGTGAAGCCAAGCATAGACTTCATCATAAAAATATTTCTTGTATGTACAGTATCTAAGTAGGCATGGTAAGATAGCAATTTTACAGACAATGGCAGATCCAAAGTGTGAGTGCCAAGCATAGACTGTGTATTAGGAGTCAACTGTCCTTCTCAGTCGCTGGACCCAGACTCTGGAACAAGCTGCCCCCTGACATGCGTGTCCTCACTGATTTTGGCCTTTTTAAATCAAGGCTGAAAACGTATTTACTCCGACTGGCTTTTAACACTTGTATCACTCATTAACAGGTGACACTTTTTTAATGCTGTTTTATTGTTTGAATGCATAAATGTTTTAATGGGTTTCGTGTAATTTTATTGTAAAGCACTTTGGTCGCCTTGAGTGTTGTAAAGAGCTCTATAAATAAAAAATTGATTGATTGATTGACTGATCAAGTGTTGATGTTATCATAGTCTTTGCCGAATGCAGAAGAAGCTACATTTAAACATAAGTTACCTGAAACCAATTTCCATTATGGGCATTTGTTCCAACAGTGTTAGCTTTGTGCTGTAACAGGAGAACATTGTTGGTAACATGGTTGCTAAGGCAAGCTGGAGTTTCCCCAGGCATCTGATTGGTCAATCTTTATGACTCCATGTCTGGATTTACACAGACAATATCAAAATATAACACTAGTATCACAGAGAAGATTTTTTTAAGCCCAAAATGGTGAGTGCTCGAGGAGTTTACTTTTCTATGTAGGTCAAATGGAGCCAGTGTGAGTTAGAGCAAAACCTTGTCCATGAGCACTTCCCAATTGGGCTTCATTGAGCAAGGGGTTAGAATTGTCCATCGATATATAGCCTATGGTGCCAAGGCACAAGATATCTTTGAAAAGTCTCACAAAGTACGCTGTGATCAATAGAGTGCCACACCCCCCACATGAAGTGTCAATAGAGAGTGTTTAGGAGCAGAGCTCATGTTTACATCTAACTGATATTTCTGCCCTGCACTTTATCGTCCCTGTACTGTAGGGACATTTGTCCTCTGCATTTGAGCCCTCCTGCAATGCACTAACTTAAGTTAACTAGACTAGGGCAAACTGTTAGGGGCAGAGGTTGCCTGAGAACCCATCTCCAGACATGGATGATCTGCTTGGTCAGGACTACCAGAGGTGGAGAATTGTGCATGTTTAGGGTAGTGGGGGTAACTGGAGTGTCCGGAGGAAATCCACACAGACATGGAGAGAAACATGTTAACTCGACACAGAAAGACCTCGGCTGGCATGGGTTTCAAACCTTCTTGCTGTGAAGACGCTGTAAATGACCCAAACAGATTATAACACACTGTTTTATATTGTTAACTATTTTAGATGTTTTGCTTTCAGCACAGGGAACAGACTCAGTCATGATTAATCATGGCAATTTATCCAATTCACAGTTAAATTAATGTAAATGTTTTCCAAAAAGACATGACATTATTAAGTTTCTCAGTACAATAACAAGTCTTTCTAAATAATGACAAAACAATAGTTTCTCATGCGATGCCTGCATTAATATTGGTACTGTCTCTTGACAGTGCATAACTGACTTCACACTACATTGGTAGCCAAGCTGCCCTGGGGCAGTAGACAACCATGGCTGCCATCTGCAACAATACAGGGCTATATGATTATTGCAATTTGTATTAAATGGCACAATACAAACTATTTTATCAAAAAAATAGCGATGCAATAAAATCCATGTTCAGCTTTCTTGTGCTCACAACAATTTGATTCTATTATTCGTTTTCACATCCATGTATTTTTGGCCTCTGACACATCTTTAGATCAGATTTTTCAGCAAAACAGAGAGGAGCAGCCCTATCTCTTGTCAGAATGTAAAAGATAAAATATTTTTGAATAAAAAGAATGTTGTGGTCTGATTTGTTTACAAAATGTTTGTTTGAGCAAGACAAACAAAATATATTCATGAAACATGAAATGTAGGTATTTAAGCTTTGACACAAAACTAAAACAAAAAGTCCAAGCCTGATCAAAACTCACCAACAACTAAAAAGGGCCCCCTCAGATATCCTGCAAAGGCCACTGAAAGTCTAGGCATTTGAATGGGATCTACACTAGGGATGTAAAAAACTATGAATTTTCATGACCGACCACCGAGCCTCATTAACCGGTTGAAACCGGTTAACCGCGTAGTTTAAAATAGTCCACGTTCTTTGAAATAACAGCCATTTCGAGCCGCGTACTTTTCATAAGTGCAGCTCTGCGTTCTACTGGATCAGAGTTGAGACAGCGGCGCCAAAACCCGCAACAGCTCCGGCACCTTTGCGCACAGAGAACTGCTTTTTTAATCTTCCCATTCTGCTGTGCTGCGGGTTAATACCAAAACTTTCTAGCAGCAAACGACGGCTCGTTCACATGGTCAGAGCAGCAAGTGACGAGCCGCGTCTCACAGGTCTTCACAAAAGTTTAAATACAAGTGATGTGTGTGGAGCTGATCCCGAGGACCATAAACACAAACATGTTCCATGTGGTTTGACTGGAGCCGCGTATTTGCGCGAATCCTTTGGGCTCCGTGACACAGAGGAGCGCGACAGACCGGTATGTGTGTGTGTATGTGTGTGTGTATGTATGTGTGTATGTGTGTGTGTATGTATATGTGTGTGTGTGTGTGTAAATGTAAGCTCCAATGTAGTTCTGACCCGCGCCAGTGTGCAACTTTGACGGTAACAGAGGGGAGAGATGATGCGTGTGGATGTTACGTATGGAGAGGGGGAAAGTGTGTGTGTGTGTGTGTGTGTGTGTGCGTGTGTGCATGTGTGCGCGTGTGCGTGTGTGCATATGTGGCTCGTGCGGCGTGAGAGTCGTCCCGGAGTTTATAATACATGGGCGCATACAGCTAGATACAGACCCGCTCGTCACACCGTGCAAATAGGGCTTAAAATAGCGTTATTAAGAGACCTCCCCTCTCCCCTTTTTCTCTTTTTTAACCGACAGCTTTGACCGGTTAACGCTGTGACGGTCAACCACCGGTTAACCGGTCGCCGATTTACATCCCTAATCTACACACCAGATTTTTCCACAATCAGTCAAGTAGTTTTCTTAAAATCCCGTCAACAGACAAACAGACTTTCTTATATTGTCTCAGCAATATCACAAACAACTTACTTTAACTGAAAGATCTCAGCTCCTGTGGATTCACCACCTGCAGGAGGATCAGTGAGGGGCTGGTGCTCTGTGTCCTGGGTGCAGCTCTGACTGCAACCCCCCGCCCCAGAAATGGATTAAGGGGAAGAAAATGGATGGATGGAACTTACTTTAAGCAGACCTCCACCTGAGCCACCGTCACACAGACAAAGGTATTGGTACATTTGTAAAGTGTTGTGTGCTGGAATTTAACACTTTTTCACCAGTCCTATTGAGTCCTGGGATGAACCTGAAATGTATAATCATGAGACCATACTGAATACAAGCAAATAACTATTAAAGCTGGTATTTTATGCACAAAATCACAAATCCAAATCAGCCATTACCGCTAATTTACATATAATAAAATCCATTATATACAGATACAATTCATTTTTTCATGTCACTAATGAAGCCACACAACGTTCAAAGCTCTGTGAATATTATTTCATTTACATCAAATTAGCCCGTAATCACAGGAGAATCCAGGTTGAGTCCAAACCATAATTGGCCTCTTCAGAAGTGAACCAGCTGCAGTTTAGCATTCAGGCTGCGTGCCGCTCCGTCATTACAGACAGGAACAGGAGGGGGGTACTGCTGTCAGAGACTTCAATGGATTTTTTCGGGGATATCAAAGTGTGGTTGCTTTGAGGACATGATACCTGGTTTTTACCTGGTTTTTTCCCTGAAGTCTGCTAACACTGACACTCACT